AGAGATATATCGTGTACCACCTATTTCTTAACATGTCACCCCATTAGACTGTAAGCACCTTGAGGACAGAGACTGTGTTTTTGCCTTTCTTTTTATTCCCAGCAATCAGCACAGTGCCCTGCACAAAGAATGTGCTTAATAAATGCTTGTTGAGCGACTGATACTTGTTGGAGTCTAGGCACGTGGCGCCATTTCTGTGGGCCTCAGTTTCCCCATGTGTAAAATGAGAAGAGAGACTAAACCATCTCTGAGATCCCTTACAGATTAAATCTACGGGAAACGCTTTAAGCCCTTGGTGTGAGTCAATGGTCAGACAGTTTATCTCCGTGGTTATGGGACCAAGACCCAAGAAAGGAAAAGGAGAGGTGCCCAGAAAATCCAGCCCTGGCAGAAGCAGCGTTTCTTTCCCTCGCCGGGAGAGTGAGACCCCGAGCAGTGGGATGATATCTGCAGTCTGGCCACTAGATGGCGGTGCCGCTCCAGCAGCTCCACGCTGAGCCTGCTGCTTTAGAGCGAGGCCACGCGAGGGCATCCTTCGCAGGCGTCTCCACAAATCCCAGGCCACTTGTTGCCTGGCAACGGTGACACAAGCCGGCTCCCGTTTCCGACCTCCGTGGCGCCTGCATCCCAAGGTGGTTCAGGGCGAAACAAGGATGGCAGAGGGCCAGTTCCCCAGTCTGAGGACATGCCACGGCTGAGCCAGGAAGGGCACAAGGGTACCCAGCTCCCAAGCTTCCTGAAGCATTAATGATGGAGCCCAGAGCCCTGCTTGGAAGCACTTTGACAACAAAGGATGCTCCCACCCAAACCAGGGGGCACCCAGCCACTGGCGTTGTCTCAGCAGCCCTAATAACCAAGGCCAGGCAGCCACACACGCACACACCTCCCCACCCCAACCCTGACCCCCATTGCCTTCAGAGTCCTCCTGAACCCCAGAGAGCTCTCAGGCAAGCCCCACAAGCACTCCTTCAGCCCTGGGACGGTCTGCGTCTCCAGCCACCATTCATCCTTCCCCACATCGGTGTTCTGAATTCATTGAGCCTCCATTCCAATCCCATCTCTCCTATTTACTATACTACCTGTGAGACCTTAGGCTAATCATTTCCACCCTCTCTGACCCTCAGCTTCCTCAGACGTAAAACAAAGAAATTAATAGGTAATAATTTTCAAGGTGGAAAGGCCATCTTAGAGGCCATCTAAGCAGATAGATGGCCAAGTGCTGACTTTGGACTTGGGAAAAAACTGAGTACAAATCCTGCCTCAGATATCTGGTATAGCTCTGGACAAGTCACTCAGCTCCTCAGTTTCAATTTCCTCATCTGTAAAATGGGGGTAATAATAGCACTTGTCTCTCAAAGTTGTGGTGAGGATCAAATGAAAAACATATATGAATATATACACACATATATAAAGTATGCACATATATAATGTACACACATATACATTGATATGATCCCATATACATTACATATGTGCATATATGTATATATACACATTGTATGTTTTTTGTATATGTACGTGTATACACATAATATATGTATATGTAATATATACACATTATATGTGTATGTTCACATGAATATATGCATATATACATATATATGAATATATGTGTGCACATACTTATAATCTCTTATACATTCTGTGTATACATATATTCACGTGTGAGTATATATACATATATACTATATAAACATGTGCAATATACATTATATAAAATGTGTGCATATAGGTGTGTATGTATATATTAATATACATATGAAGCACTTTGAAAACTTCAAAGCACAATAAAAATGTTTAGTCCAACTGTCTCACTTTACAGACAAGGAAATGGAGGCCCACTTAGGTTATGTGACTTGCCTAAGGTGGCACCAGGAGTGAGGAGGATTTGAACCCAGGTCTTCTGACTACAAAACCAGAAATTTTTCCTGTATAGATGATCCCTGGGGTCATTTTAACTTTTACATCTCATGATACCCTCCCTTCTCCACTTCAGAGAAGAATAAGAAGAATGTGGGTGGGGGTGAGAGAAATAGTTAAGGCAGCTCTTCCTTCACCCTCTACCCCCCATTTCCCTAGGGATCCCATAGGATCATCCAGGAGCACACACACACACACACACACACACACACACACACACGAATTCCATCATTCCCAGAGGCCACCAGCTCAAGCTCTAGTTCTAAGGCTGGAAAGTTTCCCACAAATCATGGGACAGTGGATTGTTTCTAAAAGGATCAGAGGTCAGGATCTATGTAAGAGGACCTCCCTGTGCCCTTCAGAAGGATCCAAGAAAAAACAAGTAGGTCTGACAATGTATCAAAACCCTGGTACACAGATTCCCTTAAGGGAATGAGGGAATGAGCATTTTTGTGACCGCTGAACACCGTGCTAAATTCTCTTTACAAATATTATCTAATTTGATCCTCACAACATTCCTTCGAGGTAAAGGCTATTATAATCCCCATTTTACAATTGAGGGAACTGAGGCAGAGGTTGTGATTTTGTTCAGAATCACAAATCTAATAAGCATCTACACTCATAGTTGAACTCAGATCTTTTTGACTCCAGGCCCAGCTCTACTGTGCCACTTAACTGGTGAACTAAATGATCATAGGAAGCACCTGACTAGTATACTAAATGTCCCTAGGTAACAAATCTTTTTCATCTGGGAGCAGCCAGGATTTCACTACATACTGTTTCCCCAGCCAAAGAAAGCAGCGACCCGGCCCTGGGCCTGGCAGTTCCCCTTTAGGAAGAGATGGAAGGGAAACTGCCTTGACATTCTCAACAAAACAACTTGGGATCCAGGGTCCCCCAGTGGAAACTATAGGACAAGGAAACGGGATTTGAAGGTAGATGTGGGGGAGGTGCAGCCAGATCCAGAAGCGCTGCTACATCAAAGGGGCGAGAGCCGGCCTCTTTATTCAGCATCCAAAACTGAACATCTCACGTGACTTCTACACACACACACACACACACACACACACACACATCCCTGGTTCCTCCCTCCATCTTCCCTTCTCCCTGGTAACACCATCTCTCTTTTCCAGACATGAAACCTTAGGCTCCATCTACTCCCTGGGATCTAATCCTTTCCCCCTCTCCCCTGCAGTATCCACACCACCCCTTCTCATCCTAACCTAACACTCCTGTCATCTGACATCTTTCATATCCATACTCTCCATTCTTTTCTCTAGTTCAGGTTTCAATACCCCCTTCACAATGAATATTGCTTCCCGACTGGACTCCTCGCCTTCATTTTCACCCCTTTCTAATCCAACCTACATATGGAAATCATTTTCTTATGGCACAGAAGATGTCACTCAAAACTACTCACCAACCTGCAGTGGCTCCCTATTGCCTACAGAATAAAGTCCAACCAGCTTAGCCTAGCATTCAAGGCCTTCTGTGGGTTTCAATCTAGTTCTATTGCCTACTTTCTTTCATTTATCCTTCTCTGCTTTGTTCACAGATACCCTGAACCCATTCAATTTCCTGCCAGAAACACTCTTTCCTTCCTTTCTATTCCTAAAGCAATTTGTAACTTTCCTATATCCAATCACATTTGATTTTTTTTCAACGGTTTTTCATGTATCTGTCCTATCTTCCCAATGGGCTGTAAACTTCTTGAAGGCAGACTCTAACTCACTGTATCTCCCCAAATGGCCCCATTCAATGGCTCGCATGTAGTTAATAATTAACAAAAGTTTGAATTTAATCACATTTGGACTCTTCCTTTTTTGTAGTTGTTTTGTCCTAAAACCAATGAATCTTAGAACTGAAAACCACCTGAGATACCAACCAGTCCAACCTCCTTGTTTTACATATGAGGAAAGAAAGGCACAGTGACAAGGTCCCAGAGCTAGTTAGTGACAGAACTAAGGTCTCCAGCTCCCCAGTCTTGTGCTAGTTGCCTGTTCTCATTTAAATTTATTTTAAAAAATATTTTAATAAGTCTTTCCTTTTAAATTTTCACTTTCTGTGTTTAGAACTAAAGGAAAATTGAGTTGGGACTACCAATGACCACAGGTATGTCAAGTCTACCTCTGCTGGTAGACCTGGCAGCCAAGAGCCAGCTTGCCTTGCACAGGGAATACTAAGGGGAGGAAGTGGGGAGAGAAAGGCAGAGACAGAGAGGAGAGATTGTCAGAGTCCTAAGAACAGATGGTATGAGGAGGAATACTGGTTCACCCATCCTCTCCGACTCCTCCTCACTATCCTCATGTCCCTCCCTCACACATTTCATTCCTGAGGAGCTAGTTTTCATTACCATGACCAAGGTACCAAGGTTCTTAGGCACTGGCAGCAGGTTTTAACATCAACCACCCTCAGTGCCTAAGCTGCTCTGTGTGAAACAAGGTATTAAGTAGACCATTGAAGGAGACTCCAAGAGGGGGGCAACATGGTGGTTCTAGAGAAACACTGTAACAGACTGGGCCTTATCCCTGCAGCAGTGGCAGGTGTAGGGCTAGGTTTTGACAGTTCTCCTAGGGAAAACTGTGTATGCCAGGGTGGGGAACAGGGCAGTTTGGTCATTATGAGCTCGGAGAGGACTGAATGCTAGGAGAAGGGTGTTGAGTTGACACTGAGGGTAGCCAGTAACTGGAAGAAATGCTTCCTATATATTCTAGTCTTAGGTCTTTAAATGCAAAACCTCTAGAGTGGGGTGGGGAAACCTATGGCCTGGAGACCACATGTGGTCTTCTAGGTCCTTGGGTGTGGCCTTTTGACTAAGTCCAAGTTTTATGAAGGGGATTTGTTCTGTGAAGTTTGTATTCAGTCAAAGGGCCACACTTGAGGACCTAGAAAACCACACGTGGCCTCGAGGCCATAGGTTCCGCACACCTGCTCTGGGCCCTCACCCGTGCCCTCAGCTTTTCTGTCTCTGAACGTTCATCAATGTTAGCCACCCGAAGGATAGGATCTGTGGAAACAACATCTGAAGGAAGAAGAGGCATCAGCGCATGTAGGAGGAAAGATGCAACAGAGGAAACATGTCAGACAGAAGATGAGACGTCGTCTGGTTGTAATGAGGTCAAAGCTAAATTGGGATGAAGGCAATCTGGAATGGGGGCATGGGAAGTGAGGGACCAGTGTCCTGGGTGGAAGTCAGGAAAGTCACTCTGCTTTGAGGATTGGTAACAGTGCCAGGCACATCTCTGAGCCATAACATGTCTCATCAGCTGTGGATGTGGGTCCTTGCTCAGACCCCATTCTCTAGGCTGGGGGGAATCTCTAGGTTTCCCCCTCATCCCAATGGTCCATGAGGGCCCTCCTCTCCAGTTTTTACACTGGCATGTGGAGCTCATCATATTCATCCTGGCCATCTTCATCAAAGTTGGGTCTGGCATCTACAGAGTCCAGCTGTTTGGGGAGGGGGGCAGGTGAGAAAATAGAAAGAAGGGAGAGAATTCAGGACTCTCCTCCCCTGACCCCACCATCCACAGCTTCTTCTTCCACCTACCCTGGTTCTCACTGCCCACAGTTCCCCAAGTCTCTAGTTCTCCCAAATCTTATGACCTTTCAACTCTCCCCTACACACCTCCCCAGTCCTCCAGATGACACCTCCCGATACCCCTCTTTGATCCTGCTTCCCTGCAACCTCACTCAGTGTCACCTCCTGTTCCTCCATATTCTCACCGCCTGAAGTTCCCTGTCTTGAAAGATTCGAGACAGCAGGAAATGCCTCAGTGGTACCGTGAGCAGCAGCACAAAGGGGAAGGCCAGTGAGGCGGCTGTGGACTTGACCACCCAGAGCAATGCGATGCAACCCAGCTGGATAAGGGTAAATAAGTGCATACGCCAAGTCTTCACCTTTGAGGAGGCAGAGCAGGGACAGAGGCATCAGGACATCCGCTATCAAGGTGGGTCCATGTCTTGATTTTGCAGTCTACCTTGGGGATACCTGTCTCCTGACTTATCCTTTACATCTATCAGTAAAATATAATCTCTTTGAGGGCAAAGGCCACCTCACTTTCGTATCTCTATCTCCAGCACCTGGCACATGGTCCTGGGCCAGGCCAGGTGCTTAACAAGTATTTGTTAATTGATTGATGGATTGATTTACCACTGACCTCCTCTTTATCTCTGGCCCAGACTTCCCTTCCCATCCCTTCTGCTCCCTCCCAGGATTCCACACCTTTGTCACATACGGCTCGTCAGGATGGTGTTTTGTGGACATCAGCATAAGCAAAACTCGCTCTGAGAGCTGTATCCCAGACAGAGAGGTAACCCCCATGTACAGGAAAATTCCAAACAGCACAGCCAGTGGGATCCGACGCAGTACTGGCCCCATTACAATGGACAGACCTACAGGAAAGGAGGGGATGCTGACCCACACTTATCATTCAGTGTGGCCCCATAATGATGCACATGGGATGGGCAAGGGTGGAAGGCTGGCAAAGGGAAGAATGTGGTGACTGTGCAGATTTTAGGGGACAAAGTTAGGGAGTCAGGAAAGAAGTTGGGAAAATGAGCTTGGAAATCCATAGGCAGTGCTGAAAGAAGGAACAGTGGACCCCAGGTGGACTCGTAGCAGGACGTGGGTTTGGAAGCCCAAGGCGGGCTTCACAGGAGTGGTTCAAAAGACCAAAGGCTGGGTGGAGGAAGGGGAGAAACTCTCACCCACTAGGCAGGCAGTGAGCAGTCCTGTGATCCGCTGCTCCCTGACCCCTTGGATTTGGGGTTTCTCTCCAGGTGCAATGGCCTTGCGCATAACAGTCAGTGCATTAACATGGGTGACAGATCGAACAGTGGCAGCTGTGAGCCAGGGTAGCCCAAACAGCCCACACAGGCCACCCAGAGAGCCAATCAGCAACAAGTCAAGATGGAAGCCTGAACCCTTGAGCAGCCCACGAGCCTTCTGGTTGACAATGAGCCTGCCAGGGTTGAAGATACAAGGTAAACTCCATGCCAGAGGTTGAGAAGAAGGGGACAGACAGAATACAGGGGACAGGATAAGGGAAGAGAGATTTGGGGAGAAAGAAATAGGTGCCCTGCAATACAGCTAGATTCTCTGTTTTAGCTTCTCAGATGCTGACAGTGACTTTCTCCTATTTAAGACTGCTCAGTTCCCTGCTTTCTCAGCTCTGGGTCTTTGCCCATACCAGTCCCCAGGCCCAGAATGCCACCACAGTCCCATAACCCCAACCCCATCTGTTGGGTCTCTACCCTTTCTTTCAAGCCCAACTCAAATGCCACCTCTTGTGGAAATCTCCTCCTCAGTCCCTTAGTTGGTGATGACTTTTCTTGGACCCTCTGGACCTCAAATAGAGACCCCTTAGAGCTGTCTTAGGCACTCATGGATTACAGCTGTTTATGCCTCCTACAAATCCCCACCAAAGTATGAACAAAAGGACAAGAGTTGTATCATATCTCAGCTTTGTATCTCTCCCAAAACCATGCACAACAATCTTTACAGGGGATGGTGCATGATAAATGTTCTTGCCAATTCAAATGATACATATGATATTTGATAAGAGTCCAAGCCAAACTGATAAAACATGGACATTTGTGGTACATAAACAAGAATACAAATACTTAGCCAAAATGAAATTTAAAATGTGTGTGTATATCCCCCAGAGCCCCAACTCTACCACTGAGTCTAGGCCTCAACTCTAAAACCTAAACCCCAACCCAGATTCTCACACCCTCCATGGCCCCTGCTTCAACCCTAGGCCCCTCTTCCACCCTTCCCCTTTCCCTGCCCCCTCACGCAGTGATCTGTGTCTCCATGAAGATGAGAATGAGGACAAGGATTGCTGGGATAGCTGCTGCCGCCATCATCCAAGGTGGGAAGGCTTGAGAACTTCCCAAGGGTGGGATGAACCAATTACGCTTCTCTGGGGAAGTCACCGAGAGCCCACTGGGTACAATCAGTTTCTGTGGGGTTGGAAGGAGCAAGGCTTATGATGCAAGGCTCTCCAAGCCCCCACTCCTCCCTCACCAATACTCTGTGCAAGCATCTACTAGAAGCTTATGAGAGTAATGATCCCCTAAAGAACCCAAGTCTTGGGGCCCATTGAGAATTCTACACCAAGCTAGATGGAGGGTATAGTCATCCTGAAACTCCCTTCCTTCTCTCCCAATATTCCTTCAGTCTCAACTCTTCCATCATCATTCTTGTGGTGACCCCTCCTCCATCTGGCCTTCCACCTTGTCTCTCAGCTACAGATCACATCATGAACTGACTCAGTGCTAGAGCTTGGCTGACCCTTCTGGTGGATGACAAAAAAAAAAAAACCTGGGCAGAGGGTGAGGGTAGGGAAGAGACAGGAATGGAGAGAATGAGAAACAGCTGTTTCTGAAACTTGAAAACCACGTAAAGCCTAAACTCAGACCATACCTGAGCAATAATGACAGTTCATCACCCTTAACACTAGAAGGATGAGAATGACCAAGTTGGCTTTCTCAGGCACCTTGGATACCTAGCACAATGTGTTACAAACAGCAGGTGCTTAATAATTGTTTGCTGAGTTGAACTAAATTGGAGATTAAAAAAAAAACAGCCTCTGGGGTAGGAAGGGAGCTGGGGATGGAGGCAAGGAGACAAGGGATATTTCCTCACCTGAGTATAGGTGTCAACAATAAAGTAATCCACTGAAACCATCACCAGAATGGAGATTGGGATCCCAAAGTCCCCAATAATTCGGCGTACCTTGTGGAAGAAGGGAAGATGCAGAGGGGGAGAAGGAACAGAGAGTACAGATGAGATGCAAGACACAGCAGTGTGGGGCAAATAAGAGGAGGCCTACTCTCTTCTCTCTAGAGTCTGAACCCAGAGTCCAAACATATATAATATCCATATTCTGAAACCCCAAGCGAAGCAAAGACTTCTATGCAATGTCAGACACCCCATTTACCACTTTGAGGACATTCAGCTAGTTAGAGCCTAACCCACTTGTCCTGGGGCCTATGCCCCCCAAAGAGAAGACCTAAGGAAGCCTAACCCTTCTATCACTGCCTGGAAGACAAAGGATTCCCTCCTCCCTGGCCCCTAGACCCAGATCACCTGGGCCCAACCCCCACCTTTCCCCCCAGAAAGCGACTGTTCCTGAATTTCCGCAGGAAGAAGGCAAAAAAGAAAGTCCCGAACATGAGGATGAGGGAAAGCAGTGCAGTGTTGGGCTGGTTCCGGGGGTCTAGTGAGGCCTCCGTGGCAGGCAGTGCGCTTGAATTCAGGTCTAGGCCAGAATCTAACCATTCATATCCTGGAGGGTAGAAGGTCCGTAAGGGATGCTCCTTAAAGACCTGTGCAAGTGAAAATGTCACATAGATCCATCACATGCTAGTGCAGGTAGGTCTTAACATACAACTTTGCAGGTATGTGTGTCCCTCTCACACACACAAACCTCTGCAAGCAGAAGTGACACAAGCCATCGTCAACTGAATGTGTGAATGTGACAAGTGATCTGTCACTACACACCTGTAAAGGTGAGTCCCCATCAGGAAACCTATCAAATATCTTGCATCTTACTGTGAAATGTATACCACACCTTGGATATGAGGCAGGTATCACCCCACCCCCAAGACCGTAAGCCACTTGACGCATATCCCATCTCTCCTCCTAGGCCCTCTGGCCAACCACCCCAATGCCTAGACCACCCCTCACCATGCTTTCTCTCCCAGGGTTTCCAGACCCCTCCACCCTCCCTACATTTTACTCATTTCCCCCAACCCTTCGCCAGACCTTGCCGGCTCTCCACCTTATAGAGCTTGTGGAAAGTCTCATAGATGAAAATGAGGGAGATGAGAAAGGCAAAGATCTCCTGGGTGAAGGGTGAGATGTATCGGACGAGAAAGCTGCCTTCCACGGCCACCAGTACGATCACAAAGATGACGAGCCAGAGGCCAACCCAAAACCGGCCTGTGAGGTACTCCATCTGATGGGCATGGCAGAACTGGGGGCATGTGGAGGATGTAAGGTTACCCACAGGAGGCCCACCAGACTGTCTGTGCCTAGCAGGACTGGGGGAGGAAGGGAAGGGGAGGACGGGAGGAAGGCTCCAAGAACGGGAGGAAGGCTCCAAGGATGGAGGAAGACTAGCAGAGGGCAGAGGAGGGGGGGGGTCTGGGTGGTGGCCAGAGGGGAAGGGCACAGAAAGGTTACTAGACAGATTGGGGGAGATGGTGGGACAACAGGGGTGTCACCTTGAAGAAAGCTTCCTCAAAAACGAGCAATGGTCCTGAGAAGCCCACCACAAGCAGCGGCTGGGCACCCAGCACGGAGAAGATGATACCGATAGTGGCAGTCGAGACAATCATTTCTGACACACCCATCAGCCCCTCGGTCTTCTCCCCTGGGGTTGGGCAGGGGCTTAGTGAGGCACCCAGCTCCCTTGTACCCCTAACTTCTTACCCCCACCTCACTCGACCCCCTCTTCCCCATCACTTTCTCAGGCTCATCCCCAAACAGTGGTAGAAGAGGAGGCCCAATTATGAGTCTTACAACACCCCTTGCCCATCCCCAAGGTGGTAGCCATCCCCATAGCCCTCCAGTCCTCTCTCACCCAGAAGCCCCCCAAAGGTGATAGCCGGGCTCAGAGCTGCAAAGTAGATAAAAAGCACAGCAGCCAAGCACTGGGAGTGCAATGCGTCTGTCAGGTCACTGCCGTAGTGGGGGTACCGGCACCTCATGTCTCGGATAACTCCCCCAAACAGGTAGCCTGTCCGTTTAAGGGGGTCATCATCCGGGCCCCCATCATTGCCTCCGAAATCCACTGACATTTCTAAAGGGACAAAGGAGTCAAGAGATCACAAGCCCCACCAAGGTGCCCACCCTGGTACCAGCACTGATAGCATGGGGCAGGGCATAGTAAGTCTCAAGGACAAGAGAAAGACCCAGGGATAGAAGACAGAACACTGGCTTTGTAAGCAGAGAAACTAGGTTCAAATCCTGACTCTGCTCCCTATGAGACTACACACACACACACACACACACACACACACACACACACACACACACACACACACACACTACTTTATCTCTCTAGACCTCGTCCTGTCAAATGAAGGGATTTAACTTGATGGTCTCTGAGATTCCTTTTCAAGCTCAAAATCTTACAATTCCTGGTATTATATCCATCATTGCAGCTGGGAGCTCTTAGGACAAAGCATCTATGGAATTAGGGTCTCCAAAGGATAGGCACTGGGGATTGGGACTTGGGAGTCTGGGCCCAGGCTCTGACCTTTTTTCGGAGCAGAGTACACACCCCGGGGAACCACCAGGGTCTTGCTCTCCAGCTCCCTCCGCTTGCTGAGCAGCTCCCGCTGGAAGGCAGACACTGACCGCAGCAGATCTCGGCTTTCCACCTCAGACGGCGGGATCACGATACTGCTATCCAGGAACTCACTGATGGCACCCAGCAGATCCTGCCGGTCATCCGCCTGGTATGCAGCCTCATGGAATAGCTTTGGAACAGAAGAGCCAGGAGGTGAGGCAGGGATAGGGACCACTCAGATCACTTCTGATAGCCAGCCCATCCATCCACACCACGGTCTCGGCAGAGTGCTACCCACACCTGCCTCCAGCCCGAACCATCACTCATGGAGCCAACCTCCAACAGAACACCAAGGGGATCATGGGAGTGACAATGAATCTGGTCTTTGAGGAGAGGAGAAAAGGGACAGGGAGAAATCAAGAACAAGAGACCAAGGGGGCCTAACAATGATAAGTCATAATTTAATGAACAATGGAATTTTGGCACCCCCTGAAAACCTGGCCCTTGGAGGATGAGTGTCTTTCTTGCCATCATATAAAACAGTGGGGTCAAACTCAAATAGAAATTAAAGCCACTAACCAAGGGTGGGTAACCAGCAACCCTGAGGCCACATGTGGCCCTCTGGGTCCTCAAGTGTGGCCCTTTCACCAAATCCAAACTTCATGGAACAAATCCCCTTAATAAAAGGGTTTATTCTGTAAAACTTGGACTCAGTCAAAAGGCCGCACCCAAGGACCTAGAAGGCCACACGTGGCCTCGAGGCCACAGGTTCCCCACCCCTGTGACTAAACCATACATAAGGATCCCTGCAGGCTGCATATTGACTTAGAAAACTATGTATTAACATTAATTATGTTTCATTGCATTCCTTTATTTTGTTAAACATTTCCCAATTACATTCTAATCTGCTTTGTGAATTGGGAGTTTTATGGACCATATGGTGCAGACCTCCTGTTTGAAACTTCTGGTGTAAACCCACCTCTATCTGGAGGGGCCCAGGGGAGCTTGGATCCAAGAAGGGTTTGGAAGAAGGGCCTGACCTTGTCAGACATGAGAGTAGCAAAGGAGCGGCCCAGCTCATGGTAGTCAGTGCCAGCCTCTCTCGGTCCCAGCGTCACAAAGATGAAACGGACAGGCACAGGGACCTCAAGGACGGATTCCAGGAGCACAGCCTCATTCAGCCGGACAAAAGCCGCAGCAGGCTGTTCCAAAAAAGGTACAGAGCCTAGGGAGCAGGGAGAAAGGCAGCCTATGGGACACGGGATGCCAGGCATAGGAGAAATATGAAATGGGGCACAGCCAGAGGGACATTGGACGAAGAGAGAAAATCCAAGAACAGAAGCTGCTGCCCTGGGAAGGAACACAGAGTAGAGAACTGGGCTAAAGTATAAGGGAGAGAGATCAGAGAAGACAGACTGACAGTTCACATTCAAAGATGAAGCCATCAGCTTGGACCATGGCACAGAGCTGGGGAGGGAAGGGGGCACCCTCAGTGGTAGAGCTAGAAAGCCAAGTCTCAGGGAGAACACAGGAACTGGAGCTCCTCCCCCAGCTCCGAGCTTTCCCTAACCCGTCTCACCCACAAGCACAACTGTGGCTTCAGCATCCTCAGGAATCTTCTCCAGCAGCTTCAAGCTTTTCCCTCTGTGGCCATCTCCTCCAGGGATGTGCAGGGGCTTCTGAGGATACAGAGCTGAGATCGCGGCTGGGACCCAAACTAAGGATCGTGATGACTGATTAAGCCTCTTAACCCATTCTCCAGGTCAAGGAGCTCCCCAGTGGGGGCAGACTACAGATTGTTTCATTCTTTGTATCTGCATCCCCAAGTGTCTAGCAGAAAGCCTGGCACATAGGAGGTATTTGATAAATGTTTGCTGATTGACTGATTGGCTATACCCTGCAGTGTAGATGAAAGAGTGTCCTGGATTCAGAAAAAGACCTGGATTCAAATCCCAGATCGGATGTGTGTTTTCTATATGACTGAAGGCAGATCACTGAGTTTCTCTAGGCTTCAGTTTCTTACTCTGTAAAATGATGGAGTTGAAAAAGCCAAGAGTTAAAGTAATTGTTAGACGTTTACTAGAGCAAAGTGACCTTTCTTGAAGTTAAAATACTGCAAATAAACATTCATATCTTCATGTCATTATTTATTAATTCTGTTAATAAATTGCATAGACCTAGTAACTGATGTTTGTCAAAGTCTAGGATATTAAGGATTTTGATACAGAGAGATAAGCAACTGTTCTCAGGAAAAGATGTTTCTCCAGTTTATTAAATGAATAATATTTAATGAACTGGGTTGAGAGCTCTGAGGTAACTGGTTAATTAATGAGGAAGAAGGTTACAATTTTAGTAATTAAAAAAAAGAAATATTCAGCATATCCTTGGATTACCTGAGAACGAAGGATGACAAGAATATCTATGGTAAGTAATCAAGTAGCAGGCTAAAAGGTGGGCATCCCATTTAGGATAGGAGTGGGTGTGGTCGACTCTAAAACCTCCCACGTGAGTTTTCTTTCGTTTTTTTTTTAATTAGGGCATTGGATTAAATAACCAGTAATGTCTCTTCAAGTCTGAAATTCAACAATCCTGCTATTCAAGATGCAGGCTGAGAGAAAGAACAATCATATGGCATAACGGGAAAAGCATAGGACTAGCCGTCAGAAAATCTGTGTCCGAGTCAAAGCTCTGCCATTTACGAGCCACATGATCTAAAGCCAATCATCTCAACTTTCCGAGGTTCATCCAGTTTCTTCATTTGGAAAACAGAAGAGTGACTTGCTCATTATTTAAGGGAATTATTGTGAGGAAGGCAAATTGCAGACATGAAGGAGCTATGGAAATGAAAGCTCTCTGACCCCAGTTCTGCCATTTTCTAGTCACGCAGACTCTGGCAGTCCCTTAACCACTCTGGATTTCAATGTCCTCTTCAAGGACTCATGACTTTGTTGGTGGGGTGGTGGGCCCTCACTGGTGCACAGTACGACCTCTTTGACTTAACAGATGGCTTTCAAGAATTGCTAAGCCTGAAAAATTCATCACCCTGTGGGCCGGGCTGGTGATGCACCTGGAATACCTGGGATAATCCACGCAGCGGATCTTTAGGCTCTCAGTCAATCTGCAAACATGTCATGCCAATTAAAGGGAAGTTGGCAGTGTCATCACCCTTTAGCAGGCCCAATTCCACATCTCTCATTTCAACAATCACAAGCTGTCTCATTTTATCATTTAACTGTTTCATGGCCTACCTCATCTACCCAAGTAGAAAGTGAGTGTTGCGAGGTCAGCGACTACATCTTCCATACAATATGATTTTAATCAACATTTTAACTCATTCAAGCCCAATTCAAGATCCCCATTTGTCTCTGACTCCACCAAAGGTCAGAGTTTGAAGAGGAGCCACTAACCTCTCTGCCGTCAGGATTATGGGGCCAGAGTGGAGCTGGTTCACTGAGGTCATCCACCATAGTGGGGACAGCATTGTCAGAAACATGGCCTGGAGTTGGGTGATGGTTCCCCAGCATGGAGTTCACACTGGAGCTTGAGGCGTTTCGGGGGAAAAAGCTTCCCTCTTTGTCATCATTAGGGTGGCTGAGCAGGAGGCAGGAAGAGAACACAGAAGGTGAGATCCCATGAGACTCTTTCCCTTCTGCTTGTCTATTACCCACCCCATCCCCACCATGTTGCTTGCCTGCCCCCCCACCTTACACACACACCACACACACACACACACACACACACACACACACACACACACACACACACACACACACACACGCACACACACACACACAAGTCTTCGGTACCTGTGTTTTAATAACAGAGTGCGCAGTACACTTGCTCGGTCCTCAGGATGGATTTGGTCTGACATGATCATTGTTTCCACCACAAGGTGTGCGATGCCAGGCAAGGTGGTCTGCTCTAGGTCCAGGAGGGTGGCCCCTGAGAGGACAAGTGGTCAGGCAAGAAGGATATGGGAAGAAGAATGAATGCTGATGTGGAAGGGCTCAGAAATATCCTCCTTACCAGTCCAGCTCTTTGCCCCCAGGAAGACACTAGACATCTAGAACTGGGATCTTCACCCTCTCATCCCTAAAGACACCCATAGTCCCACTGAGTCAGGTACTTGAAATTCTAGTTAGCTTCTGTTCTACAGTACAGCAGGAATTATAACCATGGACATAAGACAGAAACAGCTCAAGAGAAAGGGTCAGCCAGCCTTACACAAGGACAAAATCTAAGGATACTAGGAAGATAATCCTACCCCTAAAATAAGTCTCTACCCACTGGCTGAAGTCTACATTAACGCTTCATTCCTTCCTTTGGTGAAAGATTTAACCCTAGTCAAAACAGAAATCCTCCCTGAGGGAGATGAAACATTATACTGTATTTCTTAGTATTACAGATTTCAAGCCATCAAATCCAGCCCCTTCATTTTATAGATGAGGAAACTGAGGCCCAGAGAATTTAAGTAAGTTGGCCAAAGTCACACAGATTGTCAAGTAGCAGAGCCAAGACTTAAACCCATTTTCTCAGATCCCTAGCCCAAAATACACCACCTTGATATGAATATGTTTATCAGACCCTTTCCTAAGAGAGGATTTTTCATAAAGGAGAGAAAGAAGGAATATGGAGGGTATAGTCTGGGCTAGACAGGAGTGTGGAGAGGGAAGAGAGGGCACAGAACCAAACAGAAATAATACAGTACAATACAATTTTAGAAAAGGTCACTCTACCTCCCACCTCAGACTGATTCCATCATGGCAGTGATTCTGACCACAGTTCCAAAGCCATGGTGGTCCTCTCATTGGAGCATTTGATTAGATGATGGAAGACCTAGATTCTAATTCTTGTTCTGCCCTTAATGAGCTATTTAACCTCTGTCGGCTCATTTGATCTCTAAGTCTCAGTTTCTTGAGCTGTAAAATGGGAATAAAAGTCAAACCCTCTCAGTTCCTATGTAATTCAATTAATCAATAAGCATGTATTAGTGCTTGCTATGTGGGAGGGAAAAATGATATAAAGAAGTGAACTTGAAAACCATGACGCATGATGGAAATATGTGGAAGTGGCGTTACCATTAAGAAGAGCTACAATAATTGTTCCATGGTCCTCACTCTGTGAGGAGTAAGGGCTGCCCACACAGATGGTCCTGAGCGACCCCAGGCCTCAGGTGTACCATGCTGTAGTGCAAATGGAACTCACTCTAGAGAAGGAGGACCTGAGTTCAAATCCCAGCTCTGCTGGCCACCATGGGACTTTGGCCAAATTACCTGGCCTGTCTGGGCCTCATGGTCTGGAAAATGAGAGGGTGGCCTGGATGACCACTGAGGTCCCTTCCAGTTCTAAATGGATGATTCTAGAATCCAAATATCAGTCCAGCCTGGGACCCATCATCTATCTCCTCTCAGAAGCCGTCCAGTGTCAGTGACCAATGAGTTAGAAAGAGGTGACAGGCTAGGACACAAGGAAGACAAATGGGGGAATGGAAAGTATTGAGGAGAATGAGAGTAGGGTTCCCAAATGGCGTGGGAGGTGGGGGAGGAGCTCACACCTCGGGCAATGGTTTTCCTCAGCTCCAGAAGGCTACGGAAAGACAAGGAAGCCACGTGGGGCTTCCCCCAACGCTTGGTCTCCTCTTCCACGTCCTCCTCAAACTTGATCCACCGAGCAGTTTCACGCCATTGAGGCTCCTGGGCCTTGTCCAGCACAAGCTCATTCAGTTCCACAAACACCTGGGGAAGAAAAGAGAGGCAGCAATGTTTGGAAAGAATACTGGCTCAGAAGTCAGAGACTGAATTCAGAGCCCATTCCTGATGCTCACTACCCAGGTGACCTTGGGCAAGTCACTGGGCTTCAATTTCCTCATCTGCAAAATGAGCAGACTGAGTAAGACGTCCTCTGAGGTCCCTTCCAGTTCTATGGTCCCATGAGTAGAGTCAGGGACCAGAGCTGAGAGAAGGATCATCAAGGTCAACACCAGGAAGACTGAATATGGGGAGAGAAGCTCAAGCATGATAAATAGAATCCTGGTAAGAAGAGGAAGACACAAAGAGGGAAAAAATTGAGTCTGGAAATAAAGCAAACAATTGGAGCCATCCAAATGCAAAATGGACTGTCAGTCAAGAGTCAATAAATATTTATTAAGCACCTACTATGTGCCAGGCACTGGGCTAAAGGCTGCCTTGAGGAGAAGATATTGGGAAAAGAAGGGCTTTCCCCCTTTGTCTTCAGACAAAATCCAGTCATTTGTTGGTTTTGTTGTAGACAGGATTCTTGTACAGGGAAGGCTTGGATTGGGTGGGCTCTGAGGTTCCTTCTAATTCTGAGAATCTAGGATTCTGAGGGAGGGGAGGGAATCAATCAATTCACAAGTAATAATTAGGGGTCTACTAGACGTGCTAGGTGCTGTGGACAAACAGACAAAGAATTAAACATAGCTGCATGACCCTGGGCAAGTCACTTAAGTCCAATTGCCTAAAAAAGCAAAAAAAAAAAAAAAAGCAAAGAATTAAACAGTCTCTATCCTCCAAGAGCTCACACTCTAACCAAGGAGATAAGGACACAGAGAAAGACACGCAGAATAGGTCTAAAGAGAATAAATACACAGAAATTACATGTAAGGTCATTGGAGAGGATCAGCACTGGCAGCTGAGAGGCAGGGGGTGTTGTCAGGAAAAGATTCATGCAGGAAGTGGTGCTTGGCCTGTGTCTTGAAGGAAGTGAGGAAAAGGTGTTTAGTCCAGACACAGGGGATGGCCCATGAAAGGGTGAAGAGTTAGAGCTACAGTGTTATGTGTGAAGAACAGAGAGAATGCCAGTCTGGATCATGAGAGGGCAGGACAGGACAGGGAATAATATCTGGGGGAGGCTGGAAAGATAGGCTAGGGCTTTACAAGCTGAACAGAGGGAGAGAAAAAGGGCCTGAGTACACAAAAAGGTGGGGAGGGGTCAATTTCAGACCTATCTACTCTAAGCTCTCCACACCTCATGAGGCCTCCGATCCATTTTCTTCTTTTTCTTTTTCCTCCTCAAAATAGGAGCCAGGCTAGGGCTACTCCTCGCACCCTGCATCCGGGAGGGCTTCTTTACCAGATGCCTCCGAACTCCGGGGTTATCCTCCAGCCGATGACCTAGGGGGAAAAAAAGTATAGTTGTTGACTCAAGAAAGGTCAAGGAATCAGATCCTTGGAAGCACAGCCAAGTCCACTCTAGTTAGTCTGCCTAAGATACTCATAGTAGCCCCCCAAGCCTACCCTCTAAGCACAAGCTGAAGGAATACCCCAAGTCTAGCATAGTCTAATTCTATAGACTTGCCTCTGTCCATCCATATAGTGGATTCACATCCCTGCTGACCCATTTGAGATCCACAAATGACCTTCAGCCTCAGTCCCCCCCACACTTTGACTGTATCATGGGATCTCTAGGACCCTATACTGACCTTATCCCTTACCCCATGCCCATTCCCCACCTACTCCCCAAGCTTTCCCCACCTAAACTTGCAACCTAAAAGAGAACAGAATGGTAACTCACAAGCCAGTCCCCCAGCCACAGGGCTCAGATGGCCCCAGGTCAACTCCCACAGGTCATAATCCTCAAACTGCAGCACAAATGTCTCCAAGCCCTCTGAGGCCTGATGTTGTTGAAGCCGGGAGCCTAGAGCCCTCCGAGGGCCCAGGTTAGCCTCAGTCCTAGCTTTCAGAACTCCATTCTGTTCTGCCTCCTCTGGCACACTTGCCATTACCCCCTTGTGACTGAGCACAGCTTAGTGCTGTCACCACATGCCCACCCTATCTGGCACCAAGTCCTCACAGTCAGGGTCCACAGCTGAGGTTGGGGTAAGGGGAGGAGGAAGAAGGGAAAGCAGGGCCGTCTGTAGATGGTGGGTCCTCCAAATCCAATGTCCTCCCGGCTCCCAGCACTGCTCCCTAGTGCCAACAGCCCCCACCTGGCCCTTTAAACACACCCTTCTATCTTTGCTCCCCCCCCCATCCTACTGCTGCCACCGGACGGATTGTTCCTGCCCCTGTCCTCAGGCCCTGGCTACTTTCCATGACGTATCTGTGCTCAAAGCAGCAGCAACAGCTCCCCCCCCCTTTACACCCCGCCTACATGTCGTGGATGTGAGAGGGAGGGAGGAGAAAGGAGGGTGTGGTCAGTGGGGCCCTTGCCCAGGGCATGAAGCTTCATGGGTGATGACAGGTGGTACAGAAACCAGGCTACTGATAATAAAGAGAGAATGTGCATAGGCCCAACAGACGCCAAGGAGAGAAAGGGAGGGGAGAGAAAAGGGCAGATGGGGGAGAGAGAGAGAGAGAGAGAGAGAGAGAGAGAGAGAGAGAGAGAGAGAGAGAGAGAAGGACAACAGAAAATGAAGGACAGTGCGTAAAATGGAGCGATACCTCAGAATGATATAAACAGGTGTTTACAAATCAAAGTACTTTCCATATGTTATCTTACTTGATCTTCACAAGCACCCTATGAAGTAAGCCCTACGAGTATCATTATTCCCATTTTACAGATGAGGAGACTAAAGCTGACAGAGAAGCTAGTGTCTAAATAATAGCTCATATCTGCACAGCACTTCAAGGTTTGCAAAGCATTGTACCTATATTACCTCAGTGGAGCCGCACAACTCTATGAAGTGGGCGCTATTATTTTTCCTATTTTACAGATACGGAAACTGAGGCTGGGAGACGTTAAGTGACTTTCGCAAGGTCATACAGCTAATAAATGCCTAAGAGTTGCATCTAGGTCTTCCTGACTCCAAGCCCAGCAGGGCTCCCCTGCATGAGTCTAAGGGATGAGGCCCAGGAGGGGCATCACACTCACTCTTCATGTCATCCAGGTCAGCAGAGCCAAGCATCTGGGCCTCAGCCTCATCGGTGGGCACCTGCTGTTCCAGGCTGCCTGGGCTGTCCAGGGCACTGCCAGGGCGCAGGCGCTCCCGAAGGTCATAGCTTGCTGATGGACTCCAAGGCCTGGCCTTCTCATCCATGCCTCGAGGGGTCCGAGGCCGGGGAGCAAGGGGACTGGGGGAAGAGCACAGCTAGGGCAGGGAGCTGGGCTGGAGAAGAGGCCCCTTGCTCCCCTCACCTGCACTCTCTGGGAAAGGCCACCACACATCTCGCGGAGAATCCAGACCCTTATGAGAGCCTGGAGTGGAACTCTACAAGCACAGGCCCTGTGCCCTCAGGAGAATCCTGGATCTCTTCCCACCTAACCTACAAGGCAGGCCTGAGAAGCAGCAGCCACTTGGTGACCACTTGTATTAGAGAGGAAAAGCTTCTCCTGAAGGTCAAGGAAGAAAGGTGAGAAAAGCAGCTAGCACTCTCCACTAGGCCTTTTCAACCCTCTTTCCTGCCCCCTCATCATCATTCTCACAATCTACTCTACTCTCTCCATACTTTCTTCTCCTCTCATTCAATTCCATTTTCTTCCTCCTTTCCTTCTCCTCTTCTGCTCCCTTCCCATCCCACTCTGCCCCTTCCCCTCCTTTTTCCTCTTTTCTCCTCCTCTCTCCTCTCAGTTCAATACTCATTACTTAACTTACTCAATATTGTAGATCATAATTTGAGGATTGATGCCAGGGACTTCTCTAGGGACCCAGGCTCTAAGACCTAGAGAATCTGGAGGAGTGGGGAGGTTGGGGACGGGAAGTTGTGCAGCCAGGCAGGGAGCAGACCCTTGTGCCTCTGTTACCACTCCCAACCCTCCAGGAAAGGAGCTTTCTCCAAGGTGGGGATGGAAGTGTGGCATATCCTTGGCCTGGTCACTCTGTAGTTCTGGGGAAGGGTCCAGTCCCTGGGGAAGTGTCCAAGTTAGTCATGAATACCTGCTGGAGGGTTCAGAGTCATGGTCCACTCCCATACCAGGCTGAGACAAGGACTTTGCAGAGAGACTCTTCCGTGAGATGCCCACAGTGTCATCATCATCACTCCCAATGGAGAACTGGGGGTCAACAAGATGAAGCCTTAGAACTGTGTTCCCTACTCTGACTGCCCACTCAGGCCCAAAGCCACACCTGTCAGTTTCCCTCTGTCCCCTGAGCAGTTTTACTCCCTCCCATTCCTCCCCTGACCATTCAACCATTATGACTGCTACTGCCCTGTCCATCCAACCCTGCCCGCATATCATCACTTCAACACCACTCCCAAGGAAGTCACTCTTACTTTGGCTCTGCTTGGAGATGCTGAAGGCAAGGGTTCCTGATCCAGTGTCTCTGCCTCAGACTCCCCTTCTTCTTCCTCTTCCTCCTCCTCTTCTTCTTCCTCCTCTGCCCCAGCTCCTCCCTCCTCCTGGATGGGAGGGGTGCCTTCAGAAGGGGGAGCAGAGGTTTTCTCCTTCTTCTTTCTCCTGGCCCGACGGGCAGAGGTGGTAGGTAGCTGACGAAACTTGTGGGGGGGAGGCAGTCGAGTTGACAGCGGGTGGTGTGTGTGGTGAGATGTGTGACGGTGAACTGAGATTGTAGGGAGAGTTGGCCTCAGGCCCCTGCCCTGGGACAGCAACCCCCACACCCAATACACCTTACCTTAGCCACTGTTCCTAGGACCCTCCTCCCAAGTCCCTAACATCATTCTTTGACTTACACACTACCTTTTCCCTCTAGCTCAAGATGAGATCTCCCCACAATCTTTCCCATTCCCCCTTCAGTTGTGTCCAGGTCCTTACAACCTGATGAGGACTAAACAAATCAGGAGGACAGGTGGGGAGAAGAGAAGTAGAGAAAACAGGAATCAGGAAGGAGAGAGATGGAGAACCAGGGAGGAGAAATGGGTACATGAAGACAGAGAAGGAGACAAAGGGGGGAGAGGGAGAGAGAGAGACAGAGACTAAGATAGGGGAGGGGGGGCGCAGATAAAGATGAGGAATGCAGGGCTACATCTTATTACTAATACTTTAAGTGCTCATGTCTAGAGTTCCTGCAGTGGAGAATGGGGGTGAGGCAACATGGATCACCACCTCACTCACAGTAGCCAGCACTAGCCAGCAAATAAGGGTATTGAGTGACTGAGATTAGATGGTGATCGTGATGCTGATGATTGTGATAACGGTGATGATGGTGGTAATAATGATGATAACAGGCTAGGGTCCCTAGGGCTACGCACACTCAAAGTCTCTCTCACTGTAGCTTCGGCTTGGTTTTTCAGGGTCCCGGGCAGGAGGTTTGTTGATCAGGTCCCCAAACCTGCTTATGGCCAAGGTCTTTCCCAGGTCATCATCCTCTTCATCTTCACCAGGGCTCAGGGGGGGCTCCTTCAATGGTACCCGGACCTACAGATCCCAGACACCTTCTTCCTAAGTATCCCTGATCTGGACACACCTGGAAGACACTCAGGCCTGGATCCTGGATCTACCCTTGAATTAGAGCCCCAGACCTTGGTCAGCCTTCCTTAGAACTGACCTAAAAGCCAATTCCTTCCATTTCAGCTTTCTGAACCACTAGTCCTCTAAAACATCCCATCCCATGGAGGGTCTTCCACCCCTCCCAAAGGATCACCCTTTTGATGACCTCTCCCACCCCCCAGCCCCAGTCTCTTCCTCTCCCAGACACCAATACACAAACACATCTGCGACAAACTCTTTCACCTGGGGTAGAGGAGAGGCGCCCCCGGGAGGTGGAATCAATCCGTTAGCCATCGGTTTGGGCTTGTGGGTGGGTCGGTCTCTGTCACTAAAGGGGTACAGGATCTAAGTGGGGAGGTCTGAGGGTTGAAGGAGCGAAGGTGAAGAAAACAGGATCAGGACAAGTGCACCATCCCCACCCCCTGCAGGGTCAAAGAATTATCCCTAGGGTCCGCACTGCTTCCTCCACCGCCCCCCCGCCCCACCCCACCAAAACCCCACACATTTGCACTCCTTCCACATCCCTTCCCTGCCCCCATCTCTCGATGCTCTCAGGGCCCCCGCCCCCGCCCAAGGAGGCCAGGGTGGCCCCCCCCATCCCCGTGACCTTCTTCTCCGTCCCCCCCCCCCCTTCCGCAGTCCGTTCCCCTGTACAGGCTCGGGCTCGGGTTCGGACCCTGGCCTGGAGAGCCCCCCCCACCCCCATCCTCCCGCCACGCCCTCATCCGGTCCCCTCGCCCCCGCTCCTCCTCCTCCCTCCTCCCGCCCCCCACAGCGGTACCTCGGGGCTTCGGAGCCAGCGGTGGGGGCCGGGAGCTTCCCATCTCCTTCGCTCCCACGCTTCGCTTCGAGGCCTCCGGGTGGCCGTGCCACCTCTGGAGGAGACCGAGACAAGCCGGGCGGGCCGGGCAGCACTGGGCAGACAGACGCAGGCGCCCGAGCCCGCAGCCCGCACCCGCAGCCCCGCACCCGCACCCGCAGCCCCGCGGCTCCACCTCCTCAGTCCCCGCCCGGCGCAGCAGCTCCGCTGAGCCTCGGGCCCGTTACAATGAGAGCGAGAGTGGGGTCGTGACTCACACCACGCGGGCCGAACCAGCTCCCCGCCTGCACGCTCCGGGACCCCGCCATCCCCCACCCCCGCCGCAGGCTGCACCCCTCCAGACCTCCAGCCTGGCACACAAGCCCCACGCCCCCAGCACATCAGTTTTAGGGACTCAGGGAGCTTTCAATTCCCACAATCCCCCAAACACACCCCCTTCCCACTGCAGAGCAGACCCCCTTTTTATGTCCCCCACTGCTACATAACACGTAAATAACCTCCCCCCGTTTGTGCCTTATCTGTAGCCAGATAGTAGCCCCCCCCAATAAATACAACTTTATTCATTTCTTATCAAACAGAAAGTACCATTCATTTTGTCCCCGTCCAACCCACAAGGTCGTCCTTTCCAAACGCACCTCAACATAGTGAGAAAAACAAGTCTTCAGAAAACCTGACTTCTAATTCCAACTCTACTATTTATCATTTGTGTTATTTTGGGAGAAACAACCTCCGTGAGCCTCAGTTTCCCTCTCTCCCTAATAAGGGTAACATAATACTAGTCCTGCCTACCTTTACAAGACCAAGCCAAATGCATCCGACAATACTTGAGAGTTGTAAATAGAAGGTGGTGTTATTCTCTAAGAAGTTTCTGGAGGACTAGGGCTTGGGAAAGCTCTGAGTCCCAAAGTAAATGCAGCTCTGCCCTTAGCTAATTGTAGGGGCTTACACAAGTTGCTCCTGCTGTCTTCACTTCCATTTTCTTATCTGAAAAGTGAGGGAAGTTAGACCTAGAAAGTCCCTGATAGCTCTAAATTCTGTATTCTTCTAAGCACAGTCGATCTAGGTAGGAGGAGACCCAACCACAGTAAAAATTCTCATAGTGGGAAGCCATCTCAGAGGCCATCTAATCCAATCTGAATGAAAACCTCCTTTACCACATTCCCAGCAAGTCTTCACTGGAAGACTTCTAGTGAGGAAAAACTCTCCACCTCCCAAGGTAAGCCCTTTCTCCTCCCAATTTTTTTGTCCAGAACCTGTATGTAGGTACTTTGGCAGGGAAATTCCATGCACCAATTCAGACTAGTAACTTTTCCTCAAATTCTAGTTTTAGAGAATTATCTGGGGGCACTAGGAGGTTAAATGAGCGCATATATGGTCAGAGTCAGTTGCTTTGTTTACCTAATCTTTGTTGTAAGAGAAAGTTCTACATTTTAAAAAGATTATCTGCCTGTCCCTTTGGACAGCTCCCCTCTTTTCCTTCCTCATTGAAATTTGTTTCTGTTTGGGTCTTCAGAATTTCATTCTTGAGAGTTTCCCATCCCACCTGGATTGACTTCTTCTGCAGAATGTTAGACCATGGGATACCCCCACTTGCCCTTTCTCTGAACATTCTGAAATTTGCTCTCCCAAGGCCTAGAGTGCTTGTCAGATTAGGCCCAGCTTTCCTCTCATCTATCACAAATCTTAAAACGGAGTGGTAGCTCCCCTACCCCAAAGTTCATATCCTTTCTGCTTTCTGCTTCAGCAATTAGTTTCTCTCTATTGGTAGAATCAGGTCCAAAATAGCAGCTCCCCTCTTTGTTTCTTCCCCAGTCAGTGTTTTAGGCTCACCCCCATATCTTCTAACCTTTTCTCATGAGATTAACAGTCACATAGCTTGGGGGGAAAAAGACAATCCTTCTCATGTCCTCTGGGGTTCAAACAAAAACAAGGCTCTGTTGAGAGTACGTTAAGTGAGGCCTCAGGCACAGGCTTTGGGTGAGAGTTGGAACTAATCCCAAGGCCGGAAATTTTACTCTTCACACGTGGATTTGTAATTAACTCTCAAATTGTTTTGTTTTAATACCCCTTCTGAAGACCAGGGAGGACTGCATGCATCTGAATTTGCCTATTCTCAAACAGTTTGCTTCCTAGTCAGAACATGCACCTGCAGGAAAGGAGTTTTTGTCGCATTGGAAACAACTAACCTGAGATACTGTCTGTGCCTGTAACCCCAGAGAGGGGTCTCTATGATCTCAAGTGGTAGCAGCAAAGTCAGGCAGCCTGGTGAAGCCTTGAGGCTCTGGGATGCAGAGCCTGGAGTCACACCTCCCCAAGGGCAGCAGGAGCTCAGCCTGCATTCTGAGTTCAAGGAGCTTGGCTTGGGTATATAATCTGAACTCAGACCTCCCACCGAGTGGAGCAGAGCAAGGGACAGGACACCTCAACACACAGACAGCAAGCAGCAGGAGCAACTGTTAATAACCTCTGATCTCATAGTAGGAGGTTGGGCTCCTAACAAATAGAACAGTCAAGTGATGGCAAAGAGGAACAACCCTGGATATGTAAGGGAAGATTTGCAGTGTGGTGACCAGCCCTTAAAATAACAGTCATGGTCAAGGAGTTTACGACCAATTCTGTCTGGTCAGTCAACAACCATTTATCAAGGACTTAACTATATGCCAAGCACTGGGCAAAAAAAAAAAAAAAGGCAAAACAGTCCCTGCCCTAAAGAAACTTCCATTGAACATGTCTTCTACAAAAAAAAAAAAGATGCAGGGGGCTGCTAGGTGGCGCAGTGGATAGAGCACCAGCCCTGAAGTTAGGAGGACCTGAGTTCAAATCCAGCCTCACACCAAACACTCAACATTTACTAGCTGTGTGACACTGGGCAAGTCACTTAACCTCAATTGCCTAAAAAAAAAATTGCAGAGGCATAGGTTGAGTTTTAAATTTAGGATTGGTTACAAGGTCAGGTAATGGAAGAAATGTTACAAGAGTTTAAAAAATGATACTATAAATGAAATGAGAGATCCAGAATAAATCATTGAGAAAAATAAAAGCTCAAGAGAAAAGACTTGGAAGAAGAATTAACAGCTTAGTAAAACAGGTTCAAAACCTTACCCAAGTAACAAACTCTCTGAAAATTAGTATGGACTAAAAAGAAGTTAATGACTCTGTGAGACAAGAAATATTAAAACAAAATAAAAATGATAAACAAGAAAACATAAATTACTTAGTTAAAAAAACTCCCTATTAGGTAAAAACGGCTGGGAAAACTGGAAAGCAGCCTGACAGAAATTAGGCTTAGACAAACTCCTTACAACATAATCTACAATATGTTCTAAATGGATAGGTGACCTTAATATTAAAGGTCACATAATTTTTAAAATTAGATGAAATCATACACCTCACAGCAATGGGCAGGAGGAGATGTATTCTTAACCAAACAAAAGATAAACTAGATCATTTTTATTACATGAAACTGAAAATAGAAGAAAATTTAGTGTATCTCATGTCAAAAACAATTAACCTAGAAAACAAGTCAAGGCTCAATGAACTACCCAAACACCATGACCAAAAAAAAGGAGCCTGGAAACCATATCTCAAGAAAACATGAATAAAAAGCTGCCCAGACCTATTGGAACCAGAGGACAAAATGAAAATGAAAAAAAATACACCTTTTACCTCCTGAAAGAAATCCCAAAATGAACTCTCAGGAATATCATTGCCCAGATCAAGACCTTCCAGGTCAAATAAAAATTACTCCAAGAATCCATGAGGAAAAAATTCAGGTACATAGAAGCTACAGTCAGGATCACAAAAGATTTAGCAGCTAAAGAAGAGGAGAGCTTAGAAGACATATTCTGAAAGGGAAAAAAATAGAGGTTTACAATCAAGAATAACATCCCACAAAACTGAATATAACCCTAAAAGTTCTTTTAAAAATCTGGATCTCTCATTTCATTTACAATATCTTTTATTTTTTTAAACTCTTGCTAGCTGGGTTATCCTGGGCAAGTCACTTAACCTGTTTGCCTGAGTTTCCTCAACTGTCAGATGGAGATAATAACAGCACTTACCTCACAGGGCTGTTGTGAGAATCAAATGAGATAATATTTGTAAGTGCTTAACACAGTGCCTGGCATATAGTAGGTGCTTAATAAATGCTGATTCTTTTCCCTTCCCTTCCTTTGGCATTATATCAATCAGCTCTCCCTGGTTTGACACTGGGAAATTTTGGCTTATCTTGGGATGCTTGGTATTATCCAGAACTCCACACTGATTATCATTATCACAATCCAATTCTCACTGTGCCTCTCTGAAGGACACAATTTTGGTGTCTATCTTAGCTCAAATTCTATATGACTCCTAGCATCAATCACAGAGCTTACAACTCAATTCAACAAAGATTCGTTAAATAGAAGGTCTGTGCGAAGCAATGTTATCAAACTAATGAGTGAATGAGTGGATGAATGAATGGACAGATGGGTGAATGAATGGATGGATGAATGGATGAATGAAAAAGCATGTATTCAGGACTTTCTATGTGCCAAGCACTGTACTTAAACTCTGGTCATACAAATGCAAAAGCAAGATAATCAGTCCCCTGGGGTAGAGATGAGAAGGCAGGCAGATGACTTGCAAGGCAAATCAGGCTTCCACCGCCATCTTGACCGTCAAATGTTGATGACAGCCCATGGGCTGTCATGGTGTTTTATGGAGGCAGCCCAGGGCCCTGACCCCAAGAGCCTTGACAATGGCAAGGTTTCCAGGCCAGCGCCCCTAGACATCATCCTGGGAGGCAAACTCTATGTAGCTGCAGTCTGGTAACTGCTCCCGTAGGTGGACAGAAAAGTCCAGAAGAGAAAGTTCTTGCCACCAAAATCCTCTTCTTCTTGTTCAGTCATTTTGCAATCATATCTGACTCTTTGTAACCCTATTTGCAAGTTTTCTTGGCAGAGATATTGGAGTGGTTTACCATTTCCTTCTCCAGCTCATTTTACAGATGAGGAAACTGAGGCAAACAGAGTTAAGTGACTTGCGCAGGGCCACGCAGCTAGTAAGTGTCTGAAGCCAGATTTGACCTCAGGAAGATGAGTCTTCCTGACTCCAGACACGGTGTTCTATTTTCTGCGTCACTTAGTTTGCCTGTCACCAAAATCATGAACAATATCAAATCACTTGATA